TCACACACACACACACACACGCACACACACACACACGCACACACACACACACACACACATACACACCAAAGAAAATCAATACTTGCGGTTTTGCAAATAAGGTCTCGGGCAAGGCATGTTTTCCCTATGTCTAAGTCTAACATTTTTAATTTCAAGAACTTGTGTCAATTACAGCGGCATCTTGTTAGCGTAAGCTTGTCTGAAATAACAGTAAATATACCCCCAGCGAAGCTTCTGAACCACCCGAACAGTAGCAACATTATTATTCTACATGTACATGTTTTTTCCAAAAAAGAAGACCTACATTTTATCCCATTAAGATTTTTATCCATCTACAGGATTGTTTTTTACATCAAAATTCTTGTATAATCCTGATCTATGTATTTGTCTCTGTATCTATCTATGCATTTATGTATGTATGTATGATAAAAAAACAACAACAACAAAGCAACAACACCGTGAAACTTTTTTTGCTTAATATTTTCCTCCACATTAAAGTTTTGTGTTTCAAATTTGTACACAACCTTTGGATGTGAAAATGAATATGTCTGATATTCATTTAAGATTAATCCACAGAATGGTTTTGCTCTACATAGCGCGTTAAAAACGACCCATTTTCAGCTATGTTCCCATTTTGTAGCACAACGTAGTAGTTCGCATTAGGCCTATCACTAAAAAAACCCAACGATTGCGCCATATTGCAAACTACAGTAGCCAAACAGGCCAACAACAGAAGTTTGCAGATAGTTTTTCTCACGTTTCCTTTGCCTGCTGAGATCATGGTTAAGATTAATACAGAGCAGAGAGCTTTTTGTATTGAACATTTCCTCACCATCAACTCATTTCATAAGTCTCACACAAGGTACGGAAGTATTGTTAATGTGCCATTCTCAAGTTACCTTTGCCTGCTGAGATCATGGTTAAGATTAGTAAAGAGCAGAGAACTTTTTGTATTGGATATTTTCTCACCACCAACTCATTTCGTAAGTTTCACACACGGTGCGGAAATACTGTTAAAGTGCCGTGAAGGCCTCCTTTGATGTCAAGGTTGAGAATGGTCCATCAATTAGGACCTGTAGAGAATCAAACTACCCCCCCCCTAAAACCCCCAAAACAACGACAAAAAAAACAACCGACCGCTTCAGGTACAACACACACAGTTCGAACCAGGGTGCAGAATTCAGTAGATGAGCCCCATGAGACATCTGTCGGTAGACGATGTCTACAGCCATGACTTTCCTACATCTCAACGGTCCGCATTGTCAAGGCAGATCTTCATCTACGACTGTACCATTTTCCCGCTGCGAAGCTATCAGAAGATAGCAATGGGTTCATGATTCCTCGATCGTCTTGAAAAGCATGAACATTTCCTCTATGACATTTTGTTCCTTGGCAAAGCACGTATTCACCTTTCCGGTTGTACCAGCTCCACAGATGCTGTCCGTTAAGGCAACCTCCCCCCCCCCTCTATTATAATTGTCTCTAGAAACAGCTTCATACTGTAATGTGTAGAGTGTGCGTAGCTTTGAGTACTCATGGTTGAGTGGATCCTTGTGTCTGGCTATCACTGAACATTATGTACGACGCGTTAAAATGTGCCGAGTCCAAAGTAGGTCATATTATTATAGATCAGTGGTTCCCGGAATTCCAGAATTAAAAAAATAAAAATTTAAACTCTGTAGGAGAAAAGAAATATTTTTTAAAGGTAACAGGGAAGGAAAGATTTTAAAAATAATAGAAAAGGAAAAAACAAATCAATCATAATTTTATCGACTTTCCTTACAAGATCTTTTAAATTGGTGCATTTTGCATTTATAGGGGAGGTTTTTTGAAAAATCCATTTCCGTTTTCGAAAATAAGATTCTTCTTTGTGAATATATATTTTGTGTCGAACGAATTTCTTTTGAATGAATTATATCTGTTCCAAATAACAACATTCTAGTAAAAATCTTATGCGAGATATTTAGGAAAAAAAGTTGTACAGTTTTTTGGATCACCCTGT